TTATTTGGTTTCAATGTGTAACAGGGTTGAAGGTGAACTTTAGGAAAAGCTTCCTTTTCCCTGTCGGAGATGTTGACAATATTGATCGCCTCGCGGAGATTCTGGGCTACGATTGGAAGCTTCTTCACACGGACTACCTTGGCCTGCCTCTTGGAGCGGCCCTGGCTACCTCTACTGTTTGGAATAAAGTATTTTGATAAAGTGCAGGGTCATTTGGCGGGGTGGAAAGGGAAGCACCTGTCTATGGCGGGAAGGGTCGTGCTCGCAGACCAGTCTAACTATATGTTCAGCTTGTTCAAAGCCCCTGCGTCTGTCATCAACAACCTTGAGCGCCTCCTTAGGTCATTTATTTGGTCAGGGGTGGGTGATGATAAGAAGTTTTATCTCGTGTCCTGGGACAAGTGTAAATTACCCAAGCAGCTTGGTGGTTTGGGCATCACAGACCTGGGACTTAGAAACCAGGCTCTGCTTATTAAATGGTGGTGGAGGTATGAAGTGGAAAGAAATGCGTGGTGGAGGCAGTTGATCGCCCAAAAGTTTCCGAATCCCTATTCCCAATGGTCCGCTGGATCTCTTACGGGTCGCATCGGCTGCAGCCCTTGGGCAGTCATCTTGAAGCTTGATTCTGAGTTCTGGAAGTTCAGCCACATTGATCCGGGATCTGGTCATGACAAGTCTTTCTGGTTTGATGTTTGGCTTAGTGAACGATCCCAGCCCTTGGCCCTGGAGTTCCCCCAAGTTGCCCCCGTTGCCGCTTCACCAAATTGCCGCATTGCTGACCTGTGGAGCTTGAGTGAGGGAAGTTCTTCTTGGTCCATTCCTATTTCTCATTCTCTTAGGGGAGGGGCTGTGGTTGAGAGAGTCAGTCTGTTGACCTTACTTAATAACATAACATTCTCGAGTCTTGCTACAGGTCCCTCTAGAATTGTTTGGGAGCTCACGTAGAATGGTGGGTTCAGCTCCCACTCTTATTATACGGAGCTGGTCAAGGACAGCAACCTTGCGGACCAGGACTTCCCCTTCAAGATCGTTTTTGTGTCCTGTCATTCCGCCTAAAGTCTGCTCCTTCATTTGGACTGTCTACTGTCGCAAAATCCCCACTCAAGATGTGCTGAAGAAAAAAGGATGGTCTTTCCCGAATCGCTGTGTTTTGTGCGGCTGCTTTGAAGAAACCATAGACCACCTCTTCATTTCCTGCCCTTTCAGTCGCGAGGTCTGGTTTATGATGAAGTCCTTTGTTAGCATTAACATCCCCACCCAGGACATCTTGTCGGTGATTAAGCTGTGGCCTCGTGACTCGTCTCAAAGTGCTTCCAGCTGGTGCTCCAGAGTCTTTTTGAATGCTTTCTGCTGGCGTATCTGGCTAGAGCGCAACAGAAGAATCTTCAAAGACTTGTCCGCTTCGCCGCGCATGGTGTCTTTCTTGATTGCTAGATGTGTCTCGGACTGGATCTGTGTGGTCAACAAAGCTGATAGAAGTGTCGCTGATTTGTGGCTTCAGATCGTCAAGAATAGGTTGCTTCCCCGGCCAGGTCCGTTTTTGTTGCAGCAGTAATGCTCTGTTTTTCGCTTTTTCGAACTGTGAACTTTTGATCTGCTGCTGCAGATGGAGGCTGCATCCGAGCTTTTCTCTTGTTTCCTTTCCTTTTGTTTGTCAGACTTTAATTTCTATTTATTAATACTATTTCATCATTATAAAAAAAAAAACATACATACATGATATCGTTTAAACTTAATATTCGAGTAACATCAACATTACACAAGGTAATATATAAGTATTCATGCTGTATATGTGGTCAAAACTCAAAAAGTAATATATAAGTATTCATGCTGTATATGTGGTCAAAACTCAAAAGACTCAAAAGTCGCATACATGCATTTGTGGACTATTGTTGTAGTTTTCTCATAGTAATTTTCCATTGTCAACGTAATGTGTGCTAATAAAATATAACGTATAGTTATTAACTTGTGCAATTTTCCAATGCGTTTATGCTATAGTCCAGTTATTATTTGTGGGTGAAAAAGTCAAACTCCCGTGAGTTTGAATGTTTTGATGAATTATTATTTGTTTCATTGTTTGACTTTTGGATTAGATATTGTTATTCAAATTGGATTTTCCTCAATGAAACTTAAAAGTCAACTACACTATAGTACCACGTGCATGCTTGCACCATATCGAAGTACCACATTAACACTACTACTTCATTAGCTTGATCTTAGCCTGTGGGTTACTGCCTACTTGGTTTACATTTTTTAATTTTTATTATTATTTTTTTTTTGATAAGGGCGAAATAGTATTAGGAAGAACAAAACAAGCAAAGTCCAAAAAACAAACAAACGGGGAAGAAACACAGGACAACCAAAGCGAAAAAAGAAACAGAGGAGACCACCAGAAAAGGACAGCTCTGGGGCTCCAAACAAGGGGAAACAGACAGGACGGAGGAAAAGCCAGACAACAGCAGAGGAAAAAATCATCAGCCAGGACAGCCAGAACGAAGCCGCAGCGCCCACCGAACGAGACAGGACGCAAACTAACTCTCAGTGGGGGCCGGCCTGGGGAGAAGCCGGGTCTTGAGAATGAGCATCCACGCCGGATCATCATAAAATCATTAAAATATTCACAATTCACATATATTTTCTAAATTTGAATTATTAAAAATAAATTAAAACAAAAATTAAAAAAATTTTGAAACCCCCACCGCTCGGATGGAGAAAACGAACCTTGCTTCTGGAGGACGGCGTGAACGGCGTAGCCTCTGAGCAACAGCTTGTGGACGAGAGTGGAACCTAATCGTCCGGAGGCTTCCATTACGCACACGGTCTGAGGCTCCTGTTGATCATCGTCATCGCTTCCACCGTCGTAGCAATGGTTGTAATTCGCCGCAGCCGCCGCCGGGGCCATAGTGATTCAGCAGGAAATTGATTGATGAATGCAGCAATTGGAGCTGTTTAATTTCCTTTATAAGAGTCCAAAATTTGGGCGAATGTTTCTGGCTGTTGAGATTTGGAGCTGGATGAAGTTAGAGAGAGAGAGAGGAGAGGGAGGAGAGAGAGGTTGGTTGGTACGTAACTGTGGGAACGGCGATGGTCTGGTTTGTGTGAGAAAACGGAGTAGGGGCGAGGGGCTGAAGCTAACTGCCGGGAACCTCCTCCGCCGTCTTCTTCTTCTCTTCCTCCTTCTTCTCCTTCGCCGGCTCGGAGGCCAGATCTTCCGCACGCGACGGCGGGATTCTCGCTCGGTAGTGGGTTTCATTTTTTCATTTTTATTTTTATTTAATTGTAATAATTCAAAATTAGAAAATATGTGTAAATTGTGAATATTTTAATCATTTTTAAGATGATCAGACGGTGACGTGGTATGTTGACCGTTAGTCAACGCGTTTGATCTTTTAACATAATGGTCAAACATCGGGTTTGGTCAATATCGTTACTTTAATGTATAGTTTGGACCAGAATGTTACAAATAAAAAAATTAGTTAGGATGTTTATTATGATTAAAGTGCAGAGTATACAAATATTTTAACCTTTCAACAATGCATAAGTGTCTATTTTTATCTATGGTGATAAAGCTGTAGTTCCTGGTGGGGGATCATTTTGTTTGTTTAATTTTTTAGGGAGTAGGGACTCATTCCCTTGCTTTCTAGTTTGGGCACTTTCACGAGATGGTTTTTTCAGACAAGGGATTTGTCTCATTGTTTAGGAGAGGAGCAGATCGTGTGAGTAACTTTGTGGTGATTAACCCTATGCATAACCCAATAAGAATCTGCCACATCAGTGCCTCCTTCTCTCTCATGGAAAAATCATTAATTTTTTTCCCTTAATCTTTAACGGACGATTTCTCACTCGTTTTACCTCGGAATTTAATTTTTTTGCACAGTTATATCAGATTAATTGTGCTCTTCAAAATGATATCCACTTTCATATTTTTTGGAACAAAAAAAATTTGCGAGTTATTACTAGTCTATACCATATGGTATTGACTAGTATTAAATAACAGCATACCATATGGTATGAAAAATACCAGTCAATACCATATGCTGTTATTTAATACCAGTCAATACCATATGGTATTAAATAGCAACATACTATATGGTATGAAAATACCACCTCATACCAGGGTGGTATAGTATGGTATGGAGTTGGTAACGAAAGGTTTGAAATTTTCCCCCCCAGAAAATTTTGAAATCCAATAGATCGTGATTAAATCGTTCATTTTGTGCAAAACTTTTCGAAAATGACTAAACAACGAAGGAGATATCATATGGTATGGAGTTGGTAACGAGAGGGATGGAAATTTTTTTTATAAAAAAATATTGAAAATGGATATCATTTTGTAGAGCACAACGAACTCGTTCCATCTGTGCAAAAAAAATTGAAATCCGAGTTAGAATGAATAAGATATGATCCAATTAAGAAAACTAGGGAAAATAAATTCTTTTGATTCTCTACCTTTAGATCTGTAGTCACTTAAAAGAAGGGTCCAGATTTGGTTACTCATTGTTACTCACCCTAAGATTACTCACCCTATCTTTAGCCATTTAGGAGTATTACGCTGGGTGACATTCAACTTCATATTGGATTTTTTTGGTTCCTCAAAGGAAGTCTATATTCCGTTTTGGGTCTGTCTGTTTCATAGTGTCTTTTTTGTTTTTCGGAGCTTTTATAGAGCTATCTATTTAGTGACAAAAACAACCTCTTTCATGATTAGTTGGGTTGCATAAGGACTTATGCTTCTTGTCAATAATGTATTTGAGTTGTTCAGCCATGTTGTGTAGGCTTATCTTGATAAATTTTTTTTTTTTATACTTGGAGCGCATATTTGAACTTTGTACAACATTGGTCTTAGCCTGTGGGCCAATAGCCCAACATGCTACTCTATAACCTTTTCAAGCAGCCCTGAAACTTCAATTGATTGGAGTCTAGTTTTGGGATAGAGAGAACTAGACAGTTTAAAAGCCTTTATAATTTGGGCCCAACCCAAGATACTAACCCTGAGAAAATACCCAGTCGGTCGCCTTCTTCTTCCTCAAGAAAAAACCCACAGCTATTTGAAATAAAGAAAATGAAGTAATCAAACACTTGAAAGAAACTCGGAGAGTTTAGGAAGATCCCTACGACGAATAACCATCTCAAGGGGACCAATTCTTTACGCTTCGTCACTCGTCGCTGGAAAAGTGTTTCCCAGGTGAGTTCGTTCGAGTTCTTTCGTCCGAGTCTGTTCGTCCTTGCCCCGTAAATTTGATTTTGGTGGAAGTATTTGCTCGCTCCGATTTAGGGTTTTAACTTTGTGATGAATCTGTGCAGTTGTTGACAAATGGGTGACTCGCAGTACTCGTTTTCTCTCACTACTTTCAGGTGAGCGATTCTTCAATCGCCTTTTCTGTAAGTATACTTGCTATTGATTTTGAGTTTTGTTGGAATGATTTATTTGCTTTCCTCAATTCGGGCAGTCCTTCTGGGAAGCTCGTTCAGATCGAGCACGCCTTGACGGCCGTGGGCTCTGGCCAAACCTCTCTCGGAATCAAAGGTTCGACTTGTTATCACACAACCTGCTGAATTCTGAAACTTCAGCTGAACCCAGTAGAAACGGAAAATTATTTAGTTCTAAATTCCATTACATTGCAATTGATTTGAATCGCCTTATTGTTGCTACAGCTTCTAATGGGGTTGTTATCGCTACTGAGAAGAAGCTACCTTCCATACTGGTTGACGAAGCATCAGTAAGTGACTAATTCGTTTCCTCCATTCAATTTACGCTTACTGCCCATACTTCTCTTTCCTTGGCTTTTTTAGTAGTACGTCGGGAGAATTGATACATATAAATTTGTCTTAGTGACTGTACTGCTGTCTTGTACTTCTCATGTCTCATTGGTTTTGAGATCTGATTGATTCGGTTTCTTATGACAAGGACATTGCCTGCCTGTCCTAATTAATCTGCATTTTGTTTCAGGTCCAGAAAATACAATCTCTAACCCCAAATATTGGAGTTGTCTACAGGTTTGTTTTCTTCCCACTTCTTTGTTAATAAGTTTAGTCTTTTTAGCTTATTGTGTGTCAATCATGGCTGAATTAGTGAATTTATAAAATTTGGTACCTTCCACTCTTTAGCCTTGATAGTTGCCTTTGAGCTTTCATCTGTATGTGCCTCAGTTCCACAGAAACTGATTGAATTGTAAATTGTATTCTATTTCCCTCCTTTTATAGTCCTCAAGTATCAACAATCTTGTTTCATCTGCAGTGGCATGGGTCCTGATTTTCGAGTTTTGGTTCGGAAAAGCAGGAAGCAGGCTGAACAATATCACAGATTATACAAGGTACTAGCTGTAGGTTAAATCAGGAAGCAGGCTGAACTTCATCCTGATTTTCAATGTTATTTTGTGTTCCAATATGCTTCAGTTTTGAATAGGGTGGATCATTTTTGTTTTGTCATCAACATTTCTTCCTTCCTAACTGATGTCACATGAATGACTTGGTCCTTTGTCATTAATTGTATGATTCTTTGATCATTGTGGGATCATCTAAAATCAGTGAGACTGCTCTACAAATGGAGAAATGTGTGACCATTTTTGTTGAGCTAGAGGGTTGATATGCTACATTTTCATAACGATAACTACGAGCGTAGTTATTTATGTTCCTTTTTATTTATAGTATCAGCATTTTTTTGTGGTTGTAGGAACAAATTCCCGTTACACAACTTGTGAGGGAAACTGCCGCTGTCATGCAGGAGTTTACTCAATCTGGGTATTAACACTTACCTGTGCTGCCAGGATTTATAATAGCAAAATGGATTTTGCTCTTTTCTATTCCTTTGGTGTTTGACCCCTTCCATATTTTTGTCTTCTATTCAGAGGCGTGAGACCTTTTGGTGTATCTCTCCTGGTTGCTGGTTATGATGACAAAGGTCCACAACTGTATCAGGTAAATTACTGCAACATGATTCTAGGGAAGTTATGTAATGTACTGTGTGTGACCAGATAATAGATGCCTGTGATTATGGAAGTCCACAACTGTATTAGGTAAAATGACTACGGGACATGTTTCTATGGACGTGATGTAATGTATATCTGTTTGTAACCGGACAGTAGATGTCTGTGCTTAGTGTTTGGACTTTGGATATGCATCACTCTTCCTCTATTTAGATATTTGACAATTTTGGTAAAAGCTTTTCCTGATTTCCTCTGCGTTGAAGAACTAGAGAGACTCCCTGCAGTGCTATAATTTTCTGATATACTTAATCTGAAATTTGGAGTTACTAGATCGTTTATGTTTATCTTCTATTGTATCTTTGTCAGGTGGATCCTTCAGGTTCCTACTTTTCATGGAAGGCCTCAGCAATGGGGAAGAATGTCTCAAACGCCAAGACATTCCTTGAGAAGAGGTACTTGTTTTAAGTGATTATATTCTCATTTTATTTGGCTATTATTGGTTGTTGTTTGGTTTTCATTTGAGCTGGGCTTACCTTGGTAATCAAATATAAGATCTTCCCTCATCGGGTTCAGATTATTCATGAATATGGAACCTTGGAAGCCAAGTATACTGTTATATTTACTCTGCCGCTGTTGCCTATGTTACTATTCTGCAATCTGTTTATGTCTCTTCATTGCACTATGGTTTGGTCTTATTATATCCATCTAACTACCCCATCTTTTGCTGATTAAATTTCCTGTTGTTGCTTACATTCTTGTTTCTCATCACTTTCATTTTTCTATGTAGGTATACTGATGATGTGGAGCTTGAAGATGCTATCCACACTGCTATCTTAACTTTGAAGGAAGGGTAAGCCATACTTTCTGTTCTTCCACTTTGCTCAATCTTTGAATTTTCCTTGCCTACAACTTCGACATTGTGTTTGTCTGTGCAAACCATGGTAGCTTTCTAATATTGTAATAATTGTGATCAGGATCACATTGCTATAACCGTTGGATCCATTTTACAAATGGTTTGAGTATACATTTTAATTGCATTGTATAGCCATTAAGTTTACTTTTGAAGCAAAATTATACCTCGAAGGTTGCAATTTGTTAGAACATGTTGAATCAGTTGCACTTGCGCCCGATCTTACCTGGTTTGTTTTTGTTTCAAAAATGTCATGCAGTTTTGAGGGACAGATTTCAGGGAAGAACATTGAGATTGCCACCATTGGAGAAGACAGGAAATTCAAGTACGCATGCTTCTAGTATATTTGACACATTGCTATAATCTTGAAATTCAGATTATGGTATTAGTACCACTGGTGACATGAACCGTTGAGCTTACTTCTGAAATTGTTAACTACTTTGTTGCAGGGTTCTGACTCCAGCCGAGATCGATGATTATCTTGCGGAAGTGGAATAACTTCCTGAAACGAAGCTCTGAGCCTCCGAACGAAAATGTTTCCTCAATCAGTGTAGTAGACGTAATCTTGAACACTCTGCGTCGTGAAGTTTTCACTTCTGTGGCAAGTGCCTCTCTCTATTTTGCGGTGCTCATTTCATAGCAGAATGATGGATTGTGGATTTTGAATGGAGTTTGTTGTTATCGAGAGAGAGAGAGAGAGCATTTTGCAGAACTCTGCTCTTGTGTTCAGTCTCTCTTCTTTCGTGTTCGTTCCTAATTCCTATTCAACGATTTTCGCATCAAGAGAAACCCCAGTTGTCGGGAGACCTTCCTTGGTTTGTCACTAATTAGGCCCAAAAGCCATATAGATCCGACATTACTCATTGTCAGCCCAAACGATTGTTCATTCCTCTTTCAGGCCCAATAAAGATTATGAACCATGTAGTTAAATCACCCCGGGAAACGGAATTCCAGAAGTAATTGGACGCGGCGGATCAATCTCCCGGGCGCTGGGAGACGTGCTTCGTTCTCCTTTGCCAATGCGCTCCGCCGCCATGGACATGGATTCCACCACCACCTGCAATCGCCGCATCAAGCTCCAACAGGTACCCAATTCCTCTACCGAAGAATCGAATTATTTGCCTTTCGATGTAGTGATTGGGATTCTGTCTCGGCTACCCGTGAAAACCCTCTTCCGGTTGAAATCCCTCTGCAAGATTTGGGACGCCATGATTCCAACCAATCCAGACCTTGTTTCCTTGCACCTCAAAAACTACACCCACAACCCCGCCACCAAGGCCTCGCTCGTATGCAACTACGACCATGAAGATGACCGCTGGTTCTCTGCAAACCCTCGATGGGTTTCACTCTGCCCCGATGCCCAACGACCGATTCAATTGGACCAAAGCTTGCTTCAGAGGGTCATCTGCGGCACAGGCCACGGTCTGTTTCTTCTCGGCAATCGAGGGGCGTTGCATCCTGATTACCGTCTATGGAACCCAGCGACTCGCAAAACCAGGCACCTTCCCGACCCTCCTTTGGCACCTCCTTACTTAACACATTCCTCTGATCACTGTGGAGTTGGGATAGATCAGGTCGCGAATGATATCAAGGTCGTTCTGATTCGTAACTATGTGTACACGGATGCCGCCAGTCTCTACGCCTTTCGCTCACCGGTTTTTCTGTACACATTGCGCAGCAACTGCTGGAGGGAGTTAGAAGAGAGCTGCCCGTATTGGGAAGGACAGAACCTAGTCACTTGTCATACTTACTTCAAGGGTTTCTTCTACTGGCTCGTCGAGCAGAACGAATACGTGGTCGCATTCGATATGGGGAGCGACGTTTTCCACAGAATCGAATGCCCTCTTCGCGGTAATTCGATTGGTAGCCTAAGCATATATGGCGATTCGATTGCTCTGTTTAGGGGGCCGTTGTTCGGTTCAAGTGTCGCTGTGTGGTTGCTGAGTGAGAGTGGTGGGCAGTGGTGTTGGATCAAGCAATCCAACCTTGGCCCTGTATTGGAAAGATCGTATGTGAAAAGATGTTGGAAGAATGGTCAGTTTATTTGTCACCAGTTTCGGCCCAACAATAAGTTGGTGTTATTTGAGATTGGTGCTCAAGAATGTAAGGTTCTGATACCTAATTGCTGGCACCTCAACTACTGCTATATTTACAAAGAAAGTTTGGTCTCCATCACATGAGGGGTAATAGGGTGTTTTTTTTTTTTTGTCTTTTGAATCGTGAGATACTTGGCCTGAACCCTGAAGCACTTTACTGTTTGGTGTGCTCTAGATGTCTAGTTCCACGAGACCAATTTATGTATAGCAAATTAGCAATGCTGTCTACAGAATTTCTGAGTAATGCTATAACCAAATATGTCTTTATCTATGTTACTTTTGTGATTTGTTTGATCTTATGTTACTTTCAGGTGCTAAATAGGTTCGGTTTTGGTTAAACACTAAATGATTTGGCGGTTAGTGGTTAACCAATAGGCAATAATGCTTACCGATAACCGAAGCGAAAAATTTTTATCGGTTAAAAGCTTAAAATTGGTTTAGTTGTTAGTTTGGTGGCTAACCTATAGCAACTCTCACACGTCATTATTTATTGATTTCCTTTCTAATAAAAAAATATAATCATCCAAAATAATTTAACTACAATTCTACATTTTCAACATAAGATAATAATTATAAGAAACGGTATCAATACAATACATCATCCACAAGGAATTCATAATCCAAATACGAGTTCCAACACATAAAATTAAAAAATAATCAAATGTCTTCATCTGATTAGATAGACAACAAAGACAAGCACCACAAGATCATCATTCATCATAACTATAAGAAAAACAAATACTCGAGAATGAAGTTCGCTCCGTCGACTACAAAGGAGAGTCGGAGAAAGGGACGACTTTCGATCTCTTGACTCATTCATCGTTGTATATGCATGTTAGAGAGGCCCGCCACAGACGCGCCTCCCCCGTAACCGTGATTCCTTCAGCCTGTTTGAACTTTTCAAGCCACACATTAAAATATCCAGCTGCGTTCGACTTCCAAATGAGCCTGTCCCTTTCATTATTACCGCGGATCAAGATTCGCAGCACAACCTGGCAATATCTGTTGTGGTATCTTGCTCGTAGAAGCTGTGCGATCAGCGAATCCGGTCGTTGGTGAAGCGACCAGAATTTTTTTGCGAGCAAAACCAGATTAATTAAACCCCTTGAGATCTCGGAAGCCCATACCGCTACCGCCTTCCTCCTTCATCGTCACCAGCTCTTCTCTTCTCCCTGCATCCAATGCGCTCTTCCTTCAACATCCTTTTGGTCCCACTAAAAATTGATTATTAGATTGTGAATCTCATCAATGATGATATCCCCTATCTCAAACACAGAGATCGCATAGTTTAATTGTGCTTGCGCCAAATATTTGATGAGCACTTCTCTCGCTGCAACACTAATCATCCTCTCCTTCGATTTCTTTAATTTGAGTCAAACTCGCTCCTTCAATCCGCAATATCGGTTTGAATTTCGATAAAATTGTCAACTTTTATGATATAGTTTAATACTACAATGGTCGTTCGCTTTTACTTTCCTCGAAAGGTGATTCTGCCCAAGGACGAACACTTAGGGTTCTATTGTACGTTGGAGCACTATAGTCAAAATAGTGTTTTAAAACATATGTTTTTACCCTTCTAGATCATCAAAACACTTCTATGTAGAATCGTGCATTTTCCAACTAATGTAGTCGTTATTACACTTTAAAACTTACGCTTTTATACTTCAAATCACCAAAATGCTTCTAAATAGAATCACATTTTTTTATTGCATTTCTTCGGACACTCATTTGCAGTACAGGTATGTGTAACATAAAGTTTTGATACATAGTTTGATAGACGACGAGATGAGCTACTAGCATCTTCACAAAATAAACCTTGATGACGATTAAAACTTTCCTTTCAATCATGAGATAACTTGCTTAAGAAGGCCATTCCTTTCGACTAGTGTGATCAATGTATATGCAAGTGGGAAAATGTATGTATACATGCGAGAGATAACCGGATCGGAATTGATGTTTGATGGTTACACTGATAATCGATTAAACAGTAAATGATTAGCTAATTACTAACTGGCAGTTAAACAGTAGCCGACGGTTAAACGGTTAATCGACTAATCGTTACGATCATATTCATATACGTCGAAAATAATGAGATGTTTGAAGGCGTACAACATCTATTTCCTACCATAGTTTGTAATAGTGACTTAGATTCAAATGAGAATAATTTAAAAGAAGTGATTTACAAGAAGTACAGTAGAAAGTTGGACTTGCACACAGTTGCTCAACAACAATCAGTAACATTTAACCTTCTATGTAATTTGGTGGGGTTTATGAGTTGAATAATTGTTGTTTGGTCTCTTATTCTTGTCTTCTTCTTTAATCAAATTTGACGGTAGAATTGTTATTGTGTACATGTGTTGGATTGAGTTGATTATGCATTAATATCTATGCTAAATTATTTTTTATTCAATAATAACAAATTAAGAAAAGAACAAATGGTTATGTACGAAAAATCTAGAAAATAAACCTATTAAAAAAAGTAGAGGCCTTTTGTTGGTTAAGTTATCGATCCGTTATTTTAGTATAATCTTGCCGAACCACTTGTTTGGCGGTATACGGTTGACAAAATAACTGAGAATCAACTATAGCATTACGGTTAATCGACTAATGGAAATAATGCAATTAATGATAAACACAAAGTGTTTAATGATTAACCGAGAACCAACTAAAAGGTTCCGATTATAACCGAACCGATAGCGAGCCCAATACAAGTGAGTAGTGATTTACGTCAAGTTAATGGAGCTAGGATCATGTTGACTAGGGCTGTCACTCGGTTTTCCGGTTAGCGGCTAACCGGTCGGTTTCAACCGAACCGACCGGTTTTCGGCTAGCCGAAAAACCGATTTTGAAGAGGTCGGTCGGTTGTCGGTAGAGGAAAGCAGGGGTCCGGTTAGCCGAGTAACCGAAGCCGGTTAACCGCGACTAACCGGCCGACCGACCCACAACCGAAAATATAAAAAAGAGAAGTTTAACCCTCCACTCCAGCTTCTCTCTTTCTTCGACTCTTCTTCTCTCTTTCTTCCCTAACTCCTTCGACTCTTCTTCTCTCTTTCTTCCTACAAATCCTTCCACTCCACAGCAGATCCGACCCTCACCTCTCCTCCTCAGTTAACTCCTTCGACTCTTCTTCCTCTGCATGGAGGCCAGATCCTCGCGCCGAGCCAGTCGCCGAGCCAGTCGCCGCACCTCGCTCCGCGTCGCCGCGCCCGTCGTTGACCTCGCTCCCGTCGCCGCGCCAGTCGCCGAGCCAGTCGCCGCGCCCCGCGCCCGTCGCCGCGCCCCGCGCCCGTCGCCGCGCCCCGCGCCCGTCGCCGCGCCCCCGCTCCCGTCGCCGCGCCCCGCTCCCGTCGCTGCGCCCTGCCCCCGTCGCCGCGCCCCGCCCCCGTCGCCAACACCAGCAGAATCGAGAGAGAGAATCGAGGGAGGAGGCGAGAATAGGGAGAGAGAGAGAGTCTGGGAAGAAGAATCGAGGGAGTTGGTTGTTCGATTTTCCTTCTAGAGGAAGAAGAGAATAGAGAGAGAGTAGGGAGAGAGATGGTCTGGAAAGAGAATTGAGAAAACGTAGGGGAAAGAAGAATCGAGAAACAGAGGGTTAGGTTAGGAGTGTGTGGTGCAGATTTATTGTTAATTTCTTTTTTTTTTTTTTTTAAAGGTAGTATCCGGTTGGCCGGCTAACCGAGCCAAAACCGGAAACCGGTCGGTTTGCGGCTAACCGAGGCTCACGGACGGTCGGTTGTCGGTAGCTCTGGTCGAGTCTCGGTTTGACCGATAACCGACAATTCGGTTTTCGGTTAAACCGAAACCGACCGAGTGACAGCCCTAATGTTGACTATTGGTCCAATACAGACGAGCAAAATGATTCTCTTAGTGGGCTTTAGCCCAAACTGCTATCGTGTCCTCGTGGGAGACTAGCTAATCCAACACTGATAAATAAAAGGAAAAAATCCAAAAGTACCACTGTTTAAAAATTTTTTTCCAAAAATACCACCAAACCCCAAAAAATTCCAAAAATACCACCCTTTTTCAAAAACCGCCACCCCGCCCAGCGGTTTGGTCGAAAACCGCTTGTCGGGGGCGCGGTTTTGGACCAAACCGCGGGCCTAGGGGGCGGTTATAAAAAAAAAAAAAAATTTGGACCAAAACCGCTGGGTGGGGCGGCGGTTTGGCCCAAAACCGCCACCCCAACCAGCGGTTTGGTCCAAAAGTTCGGTCGAAACTTCAAACGAACGTAACTTTGCACTCGGGTATCCGATCGTAGTGATTTTTTTTTTTCATTTCGCATAACTTTTCAAGATCTAAAACTTTTACTAGGACGAAATTTTCAAAACAGGAACTATTTGTGGATATACGGGACCTTGAGAATAACTTTACCTTTACTTTTCAGAAATCCATGTACATTTTGAAATTATGATTATATTAAAAGTTGTAGATCTTGAAAAGTTATGCGGAATAAAAAAAAAATTCATGACATTCGGATTTTGGAGCACAAAGTTATGGCCGCCCAAAGTTTGACGAAATAAAAAAAGGTCGTTCGGGGTGGCAAATGACGTTTTTTCGAGACGAAGACGGAACCCGACTGTTTGAGACTTGCAAGATCTCAAAAATTTATTCGGATTCAAAAAATGGAGGCCGCAAACTTTTTGAGATCTTGCAAGCCGCAAACCGCCGGGTCTCGCCTTTCGTCAAACTTTGGGCGGCCATAACTTTGTGCTCCAAACTCCGAATGTTATGAACTTTTTTTTGATTCTGCATAACTTTTCAAGATCTACAACTTTTAATATAATCATAATTTCAAAATGTACATGGATTTCTGAAAAGTAAAGGTAAAGTTATTCTCAAGGTCCCGTATATCCACAAATAGTTCCTGTTTTGAAAATTTCATCCTAGTAAAAATTGTATATCTTGAAAAGTTATGCGAAATGAAAAAAAAAATCACTACGATCGGATACCCGAGTGCAAAGTTACGTTTGTTTGAAGTTTCGACCGAACTTTTGGACCAAACCGCTGGTTGGGGTGGCGGTTTTGGGCCAAACCGCCGCCCCACCCAGCGGTTTTGGTCCAAAATTTTTTTTTTTTTTTTATAACCGCCCCCTAGGCCCGCGGTTTGGTCCAAAACCGCGCCCCCGACAAGCGGTTTTCGACCAAACCGCTGGGTGGGGTGGCGGTTTTTGAAAAAGGGTGGTATTTTTGGAATTTTTTGGGATTGGGTGGTATTTTTGGAATTTTTTTTTTAAACAGTGGTACTTTTGGATTTTTTCCTAAATAAAAAGGGG